ATTGTATTACTACTACTCCTACAACTTAATACTACTACTACCACTAGTATTACACGTCACTCAAGGCCTATATATACCCTCTGTGTCCATATATAGTTTGTAAAGGCTTGACAAAGCTCCTGGAGAGCGAAACGTTGCCACAATAAAAATGTCACATTAGTTGCACTTGTGTCCTTTTACTTTACATATTGTCGGCAATTCTGCTAACATTATAATTTGAACTTCACAGTCTGCAGCACTTTGACAGATCTCGGAAACAAGTGTTTTAGAATCTCAGGTTCAAGTGTTGAAGAAGGAGGTTCTACTTCTTCAGGAGGAAAATAGGAGGCTGAAGCATCGCCTAGAGGGGTTTGGGAGTGAGTGCGAGATGGATTTAGCTGGTAAGAAGGAAATGGTCACTAGCAGTGAGAGTGGCAGCCACTTTAAGTGGCAAGTGGTTCACAGTTCAGGAAGAGGGAAGATAAGGAAGGTTAACAGAGAATATATGAAGGTAGGAAATCGATTCTCTGTTCATCAGGACGAGTGTACTTCAGTGGTTAGTGAGGTTGAAGGTGCCACTGATTCCCCTGCTAATCAACATAAGAATATTCTAATTGTAGGAGAATCTCAGATAAGATTTATGGACCGTGCTTTTTGTAACAGAGATAGAAAGGTCAGACAGAGGGTGTGCCTTCCTGGAGCTGGTATTGGTGACATAGTCAGCAGGTTTGATAATATTATGTCAGGTAATGAGAACATGCCCATTATCTGCCTTAGTGCTGGGGGTAATGACATTGGGAAGGGCAGGAGACAGAAGCTGCTGGATAAGTATGGGTCAGCCATAGAAGTAGTTAGGTCTAAGGGACAGATCCCAATCATATGTAGCATCATGCCTAGAATGGGAGTGGGCAATGAGTGGATGTCTAGGGCAACTGGTATCAATTGCTGGCTAGACAGGTACTGCAAGGAACTTGCAGTCCCATTCATTGATAACTGGGACAAATTCTATGGCAAACGTGATATGTGTGCAAGGGATGGGGTTCATCTCTCTGGGGCTGGAGTGGTTGCATTAGTCAATGTGATTGAGGGGGTAATTGATGACTTGTCTAGGACTTTATGCTGATAGATTATAGAGATACAGGTGTTTGTGGGAAACAATCAGGCTGCAGTGTTAGGGTTGAAAACAGCAGATATTACCGGGATACCTCAGGGATATGTTTAAAAGACAATATTCAAAATAAAGTTGCTAGTAAAGGCAAATCAATTGATCAACAAGCACAGAGAGATAGAGGGCAACTAGTGACTAAATCCCTTAAGGTTTACTATACAAATAGTAGGAACTTAAGGAAAAAGATAGATGAGCTAAGATTACTTGCAAGTGCAGGTAATCTAGATATTATTGCTAAAACAGAGACCTGGTTCAACCTGAAAGATAGAATGCAACATACAAGGTTACAAACTATTCCACACTGATAGGGTCAACAGGAAAGGTTGGTGGAGTGGCAATGTATGTCAGAGTTAATTTAAATTGTTTTCTTAGACAAGATATAAGATTAAAAACATCGAACACAGAATCGGTTTGGCTACAGTTTCTCGTGGTTCGTGACAAATTAATTTTGGGTGTGATTTATAGGCCCCCAAACCTTGATAGGTAGTGCATTAAGCTGTTATGGGACTAAATTCATAAGGCATCTAGATATGAAAATGTTGTGATAATGGGAGATTTTAACTTTAGACAAATTGAATGGAACAATATAACAGGAAATCTTGAGTCTAGTAACTTTCTTGATACGGTTCAGGATTGCTTTATAGAACAGTTTGTGACAGAACCAACTAGAGGTTCTTGTCAACAAAGAATCACTAATTAATAATCTTGAGGTTAATGATGAGCTTGGGGAAAGTGATCACAAATCGCTTAGTTTCAACATTTTGAGGAATTTCCCAGATAACTGCAATCAATTCTCTGTCCCAGACTTTCGCTTGGCCGATTTTATGGGACTGAGAAATTACCTGGGTGGGTTAAATTGGGATGACCTGACTATGGGTCAGGTAGGTGATCTTGGTTGCCAATTTGACATTTTTCAGAGCATAGTTCTAGCTTCTCAGACAACTTTTGTTCCGAATAGGGAAGTTAGATCTAACAAGAATGATCCCAAATGGATGAACAATAGATTAAAACATCTCATTGGTCAAAAGAGAGGCATATATAGGCGTATCAAAAGAGGGGATGGGCAGTTAAGAAATCAATATATTCGATTAAAGAGAGAGAGAAAAAAAAGGAATAAGAAAAGCAAAAATGGATTATGAGGCTAAGGTCACAAGGAATTCAAAGACTAACCCAAAAGGGTTCTTTCAGGTATACAGATGTAAGATTAGGAACAAGATAGGCCCACTTAAGAGTAATTCAGGTCAGATCACTTACAGTGATAAGGATATGTGTGAAATTTTCAATACCTACCTCCTCTCAGTTTTTACCTAAGAAATACTAGCAAAATTCCTGAAATAAATTATATAGAACAGGAGGATAATAAACCATGCACGATTGCAGTAACTAGTGACATGGTCCTCAGATAAATAGAGAAACTAAAATCTAACAAATCCCCAGGTCCTGATAAACTGTTTGCAAGGGTGTTAAAGGAATGTAAAGAAGAACTTAGCATACCTTTGGCTAATCTTTTTAACATATCACTACAAACTGGCATAGTGCCTGATAAGTGGAAAATGGCAAATGTAATTCCCATTTACAAGGCAGGTGACAGGTCCTTAGCTTCGAACTATAGACCAACAAGCCTTACCTCCATAGTGGAAAAATTTATGAAATCAATAATTGCCAAAGCAATTCATAGCCATCTTGACAGACAAAAACTGATTAATGAATCTCAACATGGTTTTGCAAAGGGGCATTTCTGTCTTACGAATTTACTAACTTTTTCCACTAAGGTGTTTGAGGAGGTAGATCATGGTAATGAATATGATATTGTGTATATGGAATACAGTAAGGTTTTTGATAGAGTTCCACACCAGAGGCTATTAAGGAAACTTAAGTCACACAGAATAGGAAGAGAAATTTTTTCCTGGGTAGAGGCATGGCTGACAAATAGGCAGCAGAGAGTTTGCATAAATTGGGAGAAATCAGAATGGGGGCACGTCACAAGCGGTGTTCCTCAGGGGTCAGTGTTAGGCCCGTTGTTGTTCACAATTTACATAAACGACATAGATGACGGAATAAATAGCGACATAAGCAAATTTGCTGATGACATCAAAATAGGCTGTTCATTTCATTCTAATGAGGCCACTAGAGCACTTCAGGATGATTTGAATAGACTGATGCAATAGTCGGAGAAGTGGCAGATGCAGTTTAATATTGACAAATGCAAAGTTCTAAATGTTGGACAGTTAAATAACCACGCCACATATAAACTAAATAATGTAGATCTTAGTACTACTGATTGAGAAAAGGATTTAAGAGTTCTGGTTAGCAGTAATCTGAAACCCAGACAACAGTGCATACAGTGCTAACAGAATCCTTGGCTTCATATCTAGAAGTATAAATGAAAGAAGTCCTCAGGTTGTTCTTCAACTCTATTTATCCTTGGTTAGGCCTCATTTAGATTATGCTGCTCAGTTCTGGTCACCATATTACAGAATAGATACAAATGCATTGGAACACGTACAGAGGAGGATGAGAAGGATGATCCCATGTATCAGAAATCTTCCCTATGAGGACAGACTGAGGGCCCTGAATCTGCACTCTCTCGAAAGGCGTAGAATTAGGGGGGATATGATCGAGGTGTATAAATGGAAAACAGGAATAAATAAAAGAGATATAAACAGCGTGCTGAAAATTTCATGCCAAGACAGGACTCGTAGCAATGGTTTCAAGTTGGAAAAATTCAGATTCAGGAAGGATATAGGAAAGCACTGGCTTGGTAATAGAGTTGTGAATGAGTGGAACAAACTCCCGAGTACAGTTATTGAGGCTAAAACGTTGTGTAGTTTTAAAAATAGGTTAGATAAATACATGAGTTGGTGTGGGGGGTGTGAGTTGGACCTGACTAGCTTGTGCTACTGGGTCTGGTGCTGTGCTCCTTCCTTAAGTGGAAGTGACCTGACTAGGTTGGTCATTGGGTTAGTCAGGGAGGGGACATGGATCTGCTTCACCTGGGTCAGTAGGCCTGCTGCAGTGTTCCTTCTATCTTGTGTTCTTATGTTTTAACTAGTATATTGCCTAAGAACTAGACATTGTCTTTCAGTCGGTTAGGGACCATTAGGCTTTTTCACAGGTACAACATTGGCCTGACTGACGTTATTCACTAAGTCATTTCTGGCATTGCTCAAAGGTAGCTGAGACATGATTTCAAAGAATTTACACGAAGACAATGAAAGCAACGAATAACAAAAGAAAGTATGACACAAGGTAGCTGAACTGAAATTAAAGATTCTTAATGTTACTATAATCTAAATTACTCTTAATTCAGTAAGGAAATGTTGATAATATAATTGTAAATCAATGCAAAAAATATAAAATAAATTCACTAAATTGTATGCAAATGGAAATAAGCTGGAGAAACAAATTTGATAAAGATGGCACAAAAACAAAATAAACTATAATGATAACACAACTAAATTAATACGCTGTATTATACTGAGAATATTACACTGAGATATAATGTATCACAAGATTAACAGTATAAAACAAATATGTAAAGGAAATAATCACTGTGGAACAGTTAAATTACATAAAAAGTCATTTGCAGAATTAGTCAATGTATCAATAAATATTTTACACAGAGAAAACATAACTTAGAAAAATAATAAAAATTCAAGAAATAACTGGTTTAAACACTTTAACTCTTAATCTTAAATAAGACAAAACAAATTACTCAGAACCAGAGCAATAATAATATTGAACTTTAAGAACTACACTAAGAGTGAAGTTGTTACAAGAACTTTCAATAATACAGAACTGGGAATTTAACACAAAGTTGCAGGATCAAGATATAACATTATTGTTCACTCACGGAATTTATTGTATAAAAGCTTCTTGTTCCAGACCACAAGGATCTGGTGGCCTGGTGGCTAAAGTTCTTGTTTCACACGATGAGGGTCTGGGTTCGATTACCAGCCAATGTAGAAATAGTGGGCACGTTTCTTTACACCTGTTATCTATATTCATCCATCTGTGAAATGGGAACCTGGGTGTTACTAGACTGGTGTGGGTCGCATCCTGGGACAATGACCTAATTTGCGGGAAATGTTCAACATAACAAGTGACTTTCTATATAATAGTATGTCACTGATGTCAGCTATGATCTGTATACCTTGTACATGCACTGGTAGTAAATAAAGATATTATTATTATTATTATTATTACTATGGTCTTGCTATGAACAAAAGTTAAATAAATCGCTTGCTTTTGCAGGCAAGATATGGTACTACAGTCTGTAAAAGGTTCAAACAGGTGAGACACTACATATATGAAATAGTTAACACAAAATTAATGGTACACACATAGTTAAATTGGTAAACACAAAGAAATGTAATGAAAATAAGGTAAGACAAGAAAATAATAATAGTAATAATAATAATAAATAATAATAATAATACGCAATAATGAAATAAAGGAGATTACACAACACTTAAGAACACTGATGAGAAAATAAAAGCATTTCTGCGCACAATTGACAAATAATAAATGTGCACATGAGAAAATAATATTTACTTCAGGTTTAGAGAATTGAAAACTAAAACTATATGTATGTATGTATATATATTTATATATATATATATTTATATATATATATATAAATATATATATATATATATATATATATATATATATATATATATATATATATATATATATATATATATATATATATATATATATATACATACATTATATATATATATATATATATATATATATATATATATATATATATATATATATATATATATATATATATACATACATATATATATATATATATATATATATATATATATATATATATATATATATATATATATATATATATATATATATATATATATATATATATATATGTCGTGCCGAATATGTAAAACTGGTCAATTAGCAAGAACTCATTTCAAATTAAATCCTTTCTAAAATTTTCTCTTATACGTTTAAAGATATATTTTTCTCATTAATGTTAATGTAAAAAAATTTAATTTTGCTCCAAAAGAATCTTAGAAAACTTACCTAACCTTATTATAACAAGAACGATTTATTTTAGCCTAACCCAACTAAATATATTTTAGATTTGTTTACAATAATTTAATACTAAACAAACACAGTGAAATATATTTTTTTTGTTAGGTTCAGAATGATCTTGGCGAAATTATTGCATACACAAATTTTCACTTGTCCTATATGGCAAGATGAGCATTGCTATTTAAGCCAAGATCGCAAGTTCTGCCTATTCGGCACGACATATATATATATATACAGTGGTCCCTCAATAATCGTCCGGCCTGAAAGTGGTCCATTTCGGAAATAGTCCTGTTTTTTCGTCAAATATTGGCTCGCAAATGGTCCGGTAACTCGCTAATAGTCCTAATAGTCCTTCGTCCCGGACGCGTACTCATGCTCTGAGCCGCCTCGGCCTTTCCTTCCCAGCCAGTGTGCCATTGTTTACCAGTGAATGACGGTCCCCTCACATGCTCTTATGAAATATTTCATAATATTCCAATTGGGACTTGCAAATGAGTGGATAGAGTTATCAGAGCTTATTTCTTGAGTAGCATTGAGGACTGGGTTGGGAAAATGTTTCGTTAGTGGGATGAATTGTAAAGGACCTGACGAGCATGGGCCAACAGGCCTGCTGCAGTGATCCTCCTTTCTTATGTTCATCAACCACTATCAAAACTGCTTCCACTCTACCACCACCATCTTTGTATTTTTCTACAAACTTTTTCATAAATTATGTGTTTCTCACATTCTTTACCAAAGGGCTGGCACTAGATGGTAGTGATGGTGGTAGAAGGTAGTAGTGATGATGGTAGAAGGTAGTAGTGATGGTGGTAGAAGGTAGTAGTGATGGTGGTAGAAGGTAGTAGTGATGGTGGTAGAAGGTAGTAGTGATGGTGGTAGAAGGTAGTAGTGATGGTGGTAGGTAGAAGGTAGCAGTGATGGTGGTAACAGTTGTAATAGTGGTAGAAGGTCGTAGTGATGGTGGTAGTGGGTTCCTTCTTTAGTGATTCAGTGATTCTACCAACTCCTCCAATGTTGTTGGAGTTATATAGGGCTACAAAAACCACCGCCGCCTCATCACCATTATGGACAGCTTACACTCAGTGGCCCTTATATACCCAACAACAACACAATACAACACCTCTCGTGACATACGTAATGACTTACTTTATTCATTCTAGAGTATATTCCATGTTTCTATGTTATTAATATTGTTTATTATGTCATATTAGTTGAATTCTGATAGATAAATAAGCCATAGAGTTGATATTAGTGTCATATTCTCCAACAATAAACTTGCCATCCCTCCCTCACACAAACAAATAGCCAATAAGAACATAACAATGGAAGAACACTGCAGTTCTGAACAATAAAATGGTATAAAATACCAGTTCTACTGGCCCATACAAGGCAGGTCCTTATCAAAATGACCTCCACCCAAAGCTACCCAAGAATTTACTCCCGTACCCAATGACACAAATCAAACTCAGCTCCTCCAACACGTATATTTGTCCAATCTCTTCTTAAAGCTACCCAAGGTTCTAGTCTCGATCACCCTACTGGTAAGTGTGATGTTAAGTAAAAGGACACAAGTGCAACTAATGTGACATTTATTGTGGCAACGTTTCGCTCTCCAGGAGTTTTATCAAGCTCCTGGAGAGCGAAACGTTGCCACAATAAATGTCACATTAGTTGCACTTGTGTCCTTTTACTTTACATAGTCGGTAATTCTACCAACTTTATTACAAGTGTGATGTTAAATAAGAACTTAAGAAAGTAGGAACACTGCAACAGGCCTGCTGGCCCATACTAGGCCAGTCCTTCACAAATCCAACCCACTAACAGAACAAATGCTATCCAAGCAATAAGCTCAGGTGCAAGTCCGACTCAAATCCAACCCCTTTCACTCGTGTAATTATCCAACCTAAATTTGAAACTACCCAAGCCATAGCTTTTAGAACATTGGAAAGAAGGAACACTGCAATAAGCCTGTTGGCCCATATTAGGCCGGTCCTTCACAAATCCAACCCACTAATAGAACAAATGCTACCCAAGCAATAAGCTCAGGTGCAAGTCCAACTCAAATCCAACCCCTCTCACTTGTGTATTTATCCAACCTAAATTGGAAACTACCCAATGTTTTAGCTTAGATCACCCTACTAGGCAGACCGTTCCACTCATCAACTACCCCTATTACCAATGTTCATTTATACATTTTATTAGTGCCCTAGAGTCCTCATGGAGGGGGATTCCCCTTCCAAATAACCTATCTTCCCTCTCTCCTCCTCCCTGTCTTCCATTCATCAGCAACAGCCTTCAATAAAGGTAACTGTCATGTTGAATGTTCATTCTTTTGTGCATGTAAATCTATCTTTTAGGTAAAAAAAAAAATTTGTTGATACTTCTGGGTGTCTGGAACGAATTAATTGGATTTACATTATTTCTAATGGGGAAAATTGATTCGAAAATCGTCCATTTCGATAATAGTCCCACTTCCAGGAACGGATTATGGACGATTATTGAGGGACCACTGTATATATATATATATATATATTATATATATTTTATATATATATATATATATATATATATATATATATATATATATATACAGGAAGGCCCCGCTTTACGGCGTTTCACTTTATGGCGTTCCGCTAATACGGACATTTCAAATTATGACCAAAACTCGCTATACGGCTCCCCCCACCTGACTTTCTAATACGGTCACCGTGCCCCACCCTGTTTGTTTACATTCTCCATGAGCTCAGTAAGCACTAAGTCTCTCCATTTTGTCTGGAAACTCCAAAATTTCAAATGTTTTTAAAAGTTATTTCATATTTTATATACTCTGATAATTATACTTATGTATACCTGTACCTAAATAAACTTACATACTGTGCTG